TTATATCATATAGGTTCCATACAAACGATCGTTAGATGTAGAGGAAAAATGCAAATCTGTAAATGTAAAACTGCAAATATAATATGTAAAGGTGAATGAAAAGAAAGCAGGTAATACTTAATTGTTTTTTAACATAAATATATATAAATTCGTTGATTTTTTTTCTTTCTTATTTTTGCAAACATATAATTTATATTGGATATTTTATTAATGTTAGAATTGCAATCTGCAAGGGTATACAAACTTCCTTTTCTTATTTTGTGCACCCAAATTGTTTTGGCTTCTGGGTTAATTTTACCTTTTTATCGATCGTACTAATGTCAGCCTGGTTTGGCAAGTCCCGGCTTCCAAAATATCTAAGTCGATATACAGACTTTTATAAGATAAACTTATTTTGAAAATCAGTCTTTATGCACTGGATTTAGCGACTTTTAAAATCGTTTTTAATAATCGAAATCGAACTGTTACAGCCGGAACTAATAAGTTACTAACTTAAAACCACGCCTTCCCCGTTTGTTTCCAATCTTGGTATCCATCCCTGCCGCTGATTATGTATCTTGTGGCATTAGTCTTGGTAGTCACTGTTTCCTGAAAACACATTATTGGTGTTTACTGGTAATAAGAACTTAACATCTTATAATTATTGACTGTAATTTTTTCAAAACTCAATAAAACATATTTACAATCACTTTGCTCAATAAAGGTCACTGTTTCCTGAAACACATTATTGGTGTTTACTGGTAATAAGAACTTAACATCTTATAATTATTGACTGTAATTTTTTCAAAACTCAATAAAACATATTTACAATCACTTTGCTCAATAAAGGTCTCATCGAGGTCTTAAATCTCATACCGCACATCAGGCAGCAGAAACAATTTTTGCAATATTAATCTAGAGATTAATTCGGAAGTTAGTTCTAGAAGAACTAGTAGCTCCAAGAGTTTAACTGAGGACCTAAAAGATTCAATAGGCAATAGACTCGTAAAAGCCAGAAAAGACAATGCCTTTACAGATGAAGCAAAAACATTAGCAGGTGACTTAAAGCCATTTATGAACCATGAACCAAAGTAGCACTCTTACCGCTTCCGTGGAGGAAAGTAATGGTGATATTTATACCAAAACAAGGCAGGAAGGGATGGAGACGCTAATAGACATACACATAAGAGACAAAGGCAGAGTTATCACTTATCAGATACCCAACATGCATGCCGTAAAGGTTGTTCAAATAAAGCAGAAGTACATGAAAGGGTGAGTCACGACGAGAAAATACTAAACTACAAACAATACATGTTTCCAGACATAGAAGGTGCGTTCAAATACTTGAACTTCAAATCTATACTGGGCTCTTTCAACTCGATAGGCATTAAGAGTGGCATTAAAAAGTGGATAGCCGAACTGGGTGGTACTCACCTCATTCTGTGGGTTAGGTATTAACCCAAGCAAGACAAAGCTAAAGCTCTGCACAAAAATATTAAAGATCCCCTAAGAAAGGCATCGCACTAAAATTATCAAAGCAGGCGAGGCAAGTATCTAGAGGTGGTACTGGACCCAAAGCTCTCATGGAATCGGTGTTAGGGAAGCAGTGATAGCTCTAAACTATTGTGGGCAAAAAAAACTGGGGACTCCCCCCAAAGACTGCAATGTGGCGCTACACAACAACGTCGCTCTGAACGTCATCGTAGATATAAGGCGGATTGACTTGTTGATCAAGGATAATGCAACACAGAGTGCGATAGACTAAAGCAAAATTGCTGGATTGATCTCGGCATAGGGCATCGCACAAAACTTGATGGTGTTACAGCGCTTGAGATTGAAGATTCTGACTATATGATCATCGAAATGAGATTCGAAAATCGCTGCAGGAACACTTTCCCAAGGAGGAGAGTGGACTAAAGACACAGTGACCAAAAAGGACGAGGTATTATTCTGCACTGATGGCTACAGTGTGGGGGCTGGGATTATCTCTAGAAGCTGACGCTAAATAACTTTAGCCCCTAAAATCAACAACAGTCTTCCAGGCTTAGGTACTCGAGATATGGGAGGCACGAGAGATCAAGGCAGCTTGGCTTGAGGGATATAAAAGTGAGGTTTTATTCTGATAGTCCAGTGCCTATAACAGCTATAATAGCAGTGAACACGAACTTACAATAAATGCAAAGTGCATTGGAGTCCTAAATGAACTTGATGGATACAACAATGTCAACATAACCTGGGTGTCAGGGCATACTAGCACATGCTAGCTCAGCAAAACAGCAACATTTAAAGGATAATAATACCGCCAAATGCGGTTCAGTCAGTTATCCATAACTAGTTAAAAACTAAAACCACCAGAGAATGGTTAGCTTTGGGCCAACACAGAAGATTGAAGTTCGACAGTAAACGCACATAAGAAATGATATCTCTAAGGAAGACGGATATCAGTACGATCCCGGCAGACTCCACTGTCCATTGGGCGGTGGATTCGCATGCAAAAAAGTGTCTATAGCACCAACTGTAGAAGCTGCACTTGCTCCGTCACCGTTAAGTATTAAGTTATACCAGAATAGGCACTTCGGTGCGTACCAGATAGAATTGCTGGGTGAAGTAGGAAAGCTCAAGATTACAGATATCATTGTTTTTATCAACGATTCAGGATGGTGCGGAAGAGGGAAAATTTAAAACATGTAACAAACGGTGTAGAGCATAACGGAACCCAGCTCTAATTGGAGGCTCAAGAGACGTCCGCACCACTTTTACCTACTTACCTAATCCGAAAGCTATATCTAACGATTTTAAACTCACTTAATTTTGTTTGCCACTCCATAGAAAAATACATTTTGTAAATATTATATATATATATATATTATTCCTTACTAAATCATAATATGGTAAAATATTTACCTCTACTCCCACTAAAACAAATTACCATTCACTATAAAAATGTTCTCAACTTATAAGGGCTCTACTGCTACTTATAATCACAGTCTCGGGTACATTCTATATTTTTCAATTCAAAATAGAACATTTTATGAAGTTTCAGTATTTACCCTTCAGTACCAAAATTCCTTTCCTGTCCGATTCCTGGTGTCATGTTTTAAAAACAAAAACAAATCTCATGGGTTTCGGTAAGAGAACTCCGAAACAAAGTAGGCAATGATTATTCTACCAGTATTCGGATACTAATACTAATTAATTGTTGTTTTCTAAGGGATTCGGAGCAGCGGTTCCGAAATTAGATTGAGATGATGAAAATATTATTTAACGAAAAAAAGAATCGATATTCTCATTTTTGAAATCGATTTTTTCACAGCTCTAATGACAGCTGAAGTATTCACAAGTGTTTTGCATTGTAATTTATTAAGTATTGTTAAAAGGTAAGTTTATTTGTATTCATTTAATAAATTCATTTCCCGAATTGCTTTTCAACCTGGACTCTTTTTTAACATAGACGGTGGGAACGGAAGGCCATTATATATATCCAGAATTTGTTTTCTTCTTAATTTGTGTGTATATATTTATGAAAAATATTGTCCATTTTATTTTAACATACAAATGTATTTTAATTATATATTGACGAGACAACAGCCGGAAGGAAAGACCCGTAACATACGTTTAAGGGAAATGCAAGAAGTTATGCTAAAAAAATGGTGGTAATCATTGAACAAATAATAAAGTTTTTTAAATGAATAAATAATAAAAAAATTGATTATAAATTGCGTCAGATATTTACTACTTATATGGCGTGGGGTTCCGGGGATCTTTTACACGTTTTCCTCTGGGATTCCTGTCTGATTATACTCTAAATTCCCCTACGATTCCTTGGTGATTTCGGCTGGTACTCCTTTGAGAGTTCTACCTGATTCTACTTTGAATTCCCCTACGATTACTGCCTGATTCCGTCTCAAATTCCTGTATGATTCTGTTCAGAATCCCTTCCAAAATTCCTTTCTGATTCAAGCGGGAATTCGTGCCGAAATTCACGACAAATTCCTAGCAGGATTCCTTTATGATTCCCTGAAAATTCCTCGGGTAGTCCGTATTCAGGTTTGCTAACACCTACTGTATGGAAATTCCTGGATGGCTTGTATGAAAGCATTTTTGTTTTTTTGCAATGACCCATTTTCCATAAGGCTTTCCAGACTTTAGGTGAAGTCGGCTTCGATTTTTATACTTTCGCAGGGATTTATAGTTTTAGTCAGAAGTTTGCAACACAGTGATTGAGACATTTCCGACCATATAAAGTATATATATTCTTGATCAGGATCAGCAGCCTAGTCGATCTAGCCGTGTCCGTCTGTCCCCCCAACTGTCCGTACGTCTGTCCGTTTGTACGCAAACTAATCACTTGAAGCTATCTGAATGCAACTTTGAAGTTAGTCTTCTATTTACTTTGTTACATGTAGAGGAAAGCGCAAAACTATAAATGTAAAACAGTAAATATATTTTTGTTACATAAATATATATAATTTATATTGTATTTATTCCTAGTGATCAAGCTGCAACCTAAAAGGATATAAAAATTTTGGCGTGCCAAATTTAACATTTATTTAGCTAATAAACGTTTGTTACCCAAATCTTCAGACCACTTGCTAACTATTACTCATTTTCTTGGTACCTTCCCAACATGTCGACTACAACTCGATGAGAATTATAAGCTTCAATGCGAGACCAGAAGAAAACCAAACGCACGATTGTAATTAAAGCTTTTGTTTTACTTTTGAGGTGCTATACATATAAAATAATTTCCTGCACATTTTAAATAAATGCCTCAACCTACATACTAAAATTTATGAAAAGGCAATTTTATAATTTATTGGTTGCACCTAACAATAGATAGATCACAAACCTGTTTTTACTGGACCTTTCGGCTTAGTTTCATAATTAAAATAATAAAAGACTAATATAAAAACTAATCAAAAAGAGTAAAAATCTTCATAATACGTTCAATTATTAATTAAGTAGTTGAAATAAGGCAGTTTCATATGCATGAATTAAGAATTTATTAAATTTTACTTACCATACATATACCGAACAACGAAATCTACACGGTTATCCCATGAATAAGCCATAACGACGGTATTTGAAACTAGAAACTAAAAATTCACAATAAAATGTACATAAGTATTGTAATCGAGTGTTTAGTTAGTTATATAGTAAATATAAGCTCCTTACCTTCGGAGTAGTTTACTTCAGACTAACTAAATGCTGTATATCTCAGCTACATTGGCAACATTAATTTAATTGCATGTATCTAAACATTATATATAAATACATTTATTGTATAGGAAATGCATTTTAGGTATATATTTACAAATAAAATTATACATAGATGTGCAATCTGAACAAAATATATGGATATATATAAATATATACGTGCATATCTAGATGAACATATATATATATATATATATATATATATATGTACATATATATATATATATGTACATATATATATATATATGTACATATATATATATGTATATATATAAACTAAATTACACAAAGTGCACACATATATATATATATACATATATATATATATATATTATTATATATATAAATATTACGAACGCTTTTTGTATTTCTCCCCTTATTCCGATTCTCTTCTTTTGTCACATAATGCAATCTTTACTGTAGTTATACATATGTAGATGTGAAGACAATGGTATATTCTTAGAACATGCTTAATCTATTATAAAAAACACATTTTTTAGAAAATAACACATCAAAATATTTTCGGTTTTTTTTTTTTTTTTGAATACGAATTTAGCATTAGGTATTCTGTATGGCATACAAAGCTATTTATAATACTAGCTTACCCGGCGAACTATTTACTGCCCTATAATATCTTTTACCTTTTTATCTGAACTTGTTTAAATTCTTAATAAAATATTGCTGTCAGTATATTAATAAGTCTAAATTATTCAAAACAACAAAAAGTTTTATACCTCAACCACCTCAACAACGAATACAATATAAATTATATATATTTATGTAAACAAAAAACATTTACAGTTTTGCAGTTACAGTTTTACATTAAAAGTTTTGCGTTTTACTTTAAATGTAATAATCGTTTGAATAAAAGCTTTATGATACAGTAGTCCAACTTTCATAAAATTCAAACCGAAATTCTAGAAAAATGAAAAATGGCTATATCTCAAATTATATACAAATTTTTATACATTGGAAAAGTTATAATTTTTTTTCTAAAAATTTTTCGGTCGTCAGATCCGGCCCGTTTCGAAAAATAAACGAGTAAGAGTATATAGAAAACTTACTGCAAAGTTTTATTCAGATAGCTTCAAAACTGAGAGATTAGTTTGCGTAGAAACAAACAGTCTGATATGACTAAATTGACTGGGCTGTTGATCCTGAACAAGAATATATATACTTTAATGGTCGAAATTGTCTCCATCACTGCGATGCAAGCTTCTCGCTAAAATTAAAATACCATTCAAATGTATAACAAATTGTTGATATTATAATGCTTTATGATACACAGTATTCTTAGTTTTATTTTCTAGCTCGTATATAAATAGTTTTGATGGTATTCCGAAACGGGAATAGTCGACATATAATAATATAATTTTCAAGATTTATGCCACAAACACTTACCGACTGTCGTTGTGATTTATTTGTCGACATTGGAAATGCTGGCCGCACTGGAATTTTAAACTGTTTAAGGGGGTAGACCACCCTGACATTTTTGAAAAATCTTTTTTTTTTGGGTTTTACATAATTTTGATGGCAATATCCTTACGGTCATTTTAAAATATTGGGCTTAAAATATCTCATTATTTGTGGTTATTGCAGCCATAAGAAGTGAGTGCTGCCGGTATACCTTAGAGTACTTTCTTTATCTTCTTTTGCGATTTTCTCAAAACTTAATTTTTTAAAACGGTGTACATGATTTCTCAAAAACTGCCAGACCGATTCCTTTCAAATTTTTAACACAGCATCTCTATAACCATGACGTAGGACTTTTCTCGATATGATTTTTTTTAGTTTTAAATTTAAAGAAAAAAAATCGTAAGAAAAAATCAAATTTCAAAGTTATCCCATTTGCTAAAAAAAAAAATTTACAAAAACGGCTGCGTCATGCTATAGCCATACTTCTATAGTTTATAAAAAATTTTGTTTTTGAATTTTGGATAACAAATGTGCAGCATGTACAGCATAAGACCACTCCCCAAAAAAATGCTTTTTTGACTAGTAAAGCTGTTGGATGCGCCTCAGAAACAGTACAGTAATAAGGCTGATCTCTTCAACCGAAAGAAGGCCTTTTAACTGAACAGCTTTGGCTTTGCAATTGGGAATGAAACTCTGAATGTATGCAAATACGCGCTGCAACTTATCAAAAGTGTTGATGAATTTGCAGCTCGATGAAGCATCAATCCAAACGGCAAACGGCAAACGGCGGAAGATCCTTAACTGTCTCCAGCGGTGAGGGCCAATTCGACGAGTTTTGAAGAAGTAAAGAAGGTCCGTTAACCCAAAGGGAATGAACCAGTAATTTTCTTGGGGTACATCCTAGCGACACTACATTTGCCGGGTTTAAAATTGTAGGAACGTGATGTCAAGTCATGTCTTTCTTCATCTCCTGTATTTTCGCAGTTCTGTTTGACACAAGTACTTTGACCTCCCTCGGGGACTTGCAAATCCATGCCAACACAATAGACGTCGGACCAGCAATGAAATGCGCAATCGAAATCTATAACTATAAGCACAGCCAATAATAGTGCTGCTGAGAGTTCCAATCTTGGAATCTCAAAGCCTGTAAGGGAGCTACTCTCGACTTGGCACAGAGCAGATGAACTTTTTATTCTCCATTAACCGCCGGTCGCAAATACATATAAGCACGCTCCATACGCCGATAGGCTAGCATCGCAGAATCCATGCAACTCGACGGAAGCCTGTGGTTGCATTGCGAATCGTGGAAATTTTATGTTCTGGATGACTGCCAACTGAGAAACCAACTCCCCCCATGACGAATGGACTCTGGTAATACGTCATCCTAATCCACGTTAGCACTATATTAGGATTGCAAAAAGGTTTTAGATTTTGTAATAATTGGTGTAATAAGTCCAAGAGGATTATAAAATTTTTCAATTGTTGGCAATGCAATTCGTTTGGTGGGTCGATGAGTTGTAAGTATTTGAGAGAAATTAAATAGGAGCTGATCAGACGCCGGATCCCAGGCCAATCTCACCGCCTTGGCGATGCCTGATGCATCGTGGAATTTTATTAACTGATCCATGTCGCAGTCAGACTCCCCATCGAGGGCTCCTTCATCATTCGAACACCATTTGCGGATTGGAAAGTGTCCTCGAATTTCTTCCACTTCTTCAACTGAATCACGATCAGAAATTAAATCATCCACGCATAAATCCCTGCGAACAATTTTTTCTCCAACTGTGAATGATTCCTCATCATAGGAGAGCTGTTGCATTGCTCTTATAGCCAAGAAGGCAGCTGGCTTTACTACGGCACCAAGTGTGTCATCATCAGAATGATTACTAGGATCCTTGATGATGGCAGCAAAGACAACGAAGTTTGGTGTTCTAAAGTGTTGGCAGCGCGCTATCCAAATGAATTTGTCCGGTAGAAATTATTTGGAAAAATAGGCCAGCACCAATTAGAGAATCTATTCGTTCTGATCGATTAAAATAAGGATCAGCGAGCGATTTATTTTGCGGATTTTTCCATGATGTTGCATATTTATTGAAATGGGGCTGATAATCAGTGATACTATTAATCACGACCGCGGAGAATGAGGCACGATAGCTTGCACTTCGGGATTGCGCTAGAATGTCGACTGCCTTATCAGAATTCAGGGAAGATTCACCAATCCCAGAGACTAGTGTGTGCGACTTTCCATGATTCAAATTTAATTGGTTCACTAGGCGAGAAGTTTTGATGTTTAACTGAGACGCCGAGTCTAAGATTGCTCGGCAAGGCATAAATTCTCCAGTCATATTTCTCACATATAATAGCGGTTGGAGCAACACGTAATTAAGGGGCCGAATATTTGTGGGTTTTGATGGAGGGTTTGATAAGTGACCTGGTTGGGATATTGAATGTGAACTTGATACTAATGCTGATGAATATGATGTTGATGGCTGAGATATATATGATGGCTGAGATATATATGATATACAAAATCTGCAGTGCATTGACATGCATTGCTGCAAACTATACCCCTTGCGCAAACAATTGAGGCACAGGTTTATTGCTTCTCTAAATCGAAGATTCCAACTTAAATTTAAAAATGGAGAACAATTTGCCAAATAATGATCCCTCGCATCACAAAACATACATAGCGGAAGATTTGAGTTAGTAGCTGAAGCAATGAATGTGTTTGAGCTATACCTATGCAGGTTTTTCCCACCTCCTGGCCTGGTGTTTGCGTTACCAAGGCTTGATCCAAATTTTCAATCATCACCTCCTCTGCAAGAACGACTTCATCGAATCCCAAGTATATAGATCGTTGGTGGACAAATCCTCTTCCCATTTTTCGCGCGTCCTCTGATCCAGCTTTCGTGCATCAATGTGAATTAGCAATCCATCCAAGATTTGTTGCGTAGTGCCAAGGGTACGGATTGCTCGCAAATGCGAAGTCATGCAATCGCTTAACTCCCTTCTCGATACCTTTTAACCCAAATATTGCCTGCACGTATGCCTGAGGTTAGGTTAAGTTAGGTTGAACCGGAGGGCCCTCCTGAAGAGTACAATCTTAGGCCAGTACGGCCCTTTCTTATTCGGATGTTGTTTTTCACATGGACCTGGATAATCTTACGCAGTGTTAAAGTCCTTTAGGATCGCCGTAGTTTTAGCGAAGGCAAGTAGTTCACCTGGCGACCTCTTGGAGGCATCTAGGTGTTTTACTCTTGCCTGCGTTAGGACTGGGCACTTACAGATGAGATGCTTCAAGGTTTCGGTTGCCTCAGATTCATCGCACTTCCTGCAGTTGCCATTTTTGGTGATGCCCAGCCTGACTGCATGCGCGGCAGCCAGGCAGTGGCCCATTAGGGTTCCCACTAACAGTCTGCAGTCTTTTTGGGATAGATGCAGTACGTAGTGGCTGAGTTTGTCATTGCGCTCTTTGGACATGGTTTTAGATGTTTTGCAAGTCGCGGAGTTTCCTCTCCAGCTGATTTTTGCTAGTACGTCCTTTCCAACTGGATTTGGAGCGTTCTTAGAGATTCTGGGACGTTTTCTGTTCTATCGATAGCCAGTCCGACTAATTCCTTTGCAAATTCGTCTGCGATTCCGTTTAACACTATGCCCTGGTGGCTGGGAACCCAGTAGATCCGCACTGACGTTGTCGTGCTCAGGATATCTAGTGCGTCCCTGTATGCCAGTACCTTTTTGGAACTGACCGCTGACGATTGCAAAGATCTAATCGTCGTCTGACTGTCTACGAACAGGTTTACCGCCTCACATGGGCGGGCTACTACCTGCGCAAGCTCTGCCGCCTTCATGATGGGGAAGAATATGCTGCAATGGCTTGGTAGCTTATACGACAGCCTCATCTCGGGGTCTGAACAGTATATGCCCGCTCCAACTCCTCCGTCCAGCGCGTGTCGAGCGTGGTCCTGAACTGTTTTTCAGTCTTCAGGTCCCATAAATGTTGTTGTTATCACATCCGGGCAAGTTCTAGGTGTCATGTAGTCAGATAGACTGCTCATGGGTAGATCAATTGAACTGTGCCCGTATCCTTTTGTCGACATACTTCCTAGCGCTACTAGGCGCTGTGTCCAGGAGATCAATTCCTAGTATCGTCCCTAGAGCTTTTGTGGGGGTTGACCTCAGCGCCCCAGATATGCAGAGCATTGCCTGCCGCTGGGTTCTCTCCTCCATAAGAATTTTGTAGGTCCTCTTTTCTATGGCTTGCACCACACTAAGACCCCGTATAGCAGAGTCGGGCGTACCACCGATATGTAGACCCAATGCATCAGAGCGGGTGGGAGGCCCCATGTGCTGCTGGGCATCTTCTTGGATGCATATAGCGCAATGGTCTCTAAATCATTTGGTTTCCATGCCAGCTTGCTGTCCAATACAGTGCCCAGGTATTTGACTTGTATTTTCGGTTTCAGCCTGGTTGAGTTTATTTTTGGGGTGATCCATGGCGGTACCTTGTATCTCTTTGTGAAGAGAATCAGGTCCGTCTTATCCGCATTGATATTGAGTCCTACCTTGTCCGTCCACTCACATATCTCCCTGAGTGTTGATTCCAAGATCGAGCTAAGGGTCGACGGACATACTCCCGAGATAATTATGCTTATGTCGTTAG